GGGATTTGAGTTCTCAAAGACCAACCCATGTTTGGGAAAGTTGGCCAACAAGATGACAGTGTTGATCCACGTGGATGATGTACTGTATCTTGGGGAGAAGGAATACGTCATGAACGACTTCCTGCCCAGCATCCGAGCCAGGTTTGAGATCTCAGAACAACACCTCACAGGTCCTGAAAGCTCTTTCCAGTTTTTGAGGAGAACGTATGAAGAGACTGAGACAGGATTGAAAGTTCACCCTGGCAAGTATGCAGAGAGCACGGTGGAGATGTACGAGGAGAAGATGGGACGTGCAAAGATCCAATCTCTGCCGTGCAGCCAGGAGATGCTCGAAGCGGATGGCACTACCCAGCTGAGGCCAGATCTCTCAAGTCTCTATAGATCTTTGGTTGGATGTGGGATATACCTTTCCCAGGAGCGGCCAGATGTATCTTATGTGATCAAAGAGCTCGCCGGGTCAATGTCATGTCCAACAACGGGGAGCCTGAAGAAGCTGGGAAAGTTGGTTGGATATTTGAAGAACACTATGGGACAGTATTCAATGCTGGAGATTGGAGAACCAGGAGCAGGACCATCAACGAAGACAACAGAGGGAAGGTGGCTCCTGGAAACATTCTCAGACAGCGATTGGTCAGGTTCCAAAAGTCACAGGCGTTCCACGTCAGCAGCCATCCATGTGGCCAATGGAGTGAAGAGGACAAAAGAGTGTGACGGCCGAGCTTAACGCGTTGGTCTCAGCAGCCGCAGATGGTATCTACCTGAGGAAGTGCTTGGAGTTCATTGCAGAGGAGAAGGTGACCCATCATTGCCTGGTTGACAACTCAGCAGCACTCCATCTATGCCATAGAAAGGGCCCCGGGAGACTTCGACATATCTCGGGAAAGCTGTTGTGGATCCAGGATCTAGTGGCGCAAGAGGAACTACAAGTACGAGCGGTTGGAACAGTCTACAATATTGCAGATCTCGGCACAAAACCACTCACCAAGAACCGCATCAGCTTGATCCTCCATTGGTGCAATGCTCGAAGGAGCGATGGAGAAAGGCTTGGCCAGGAGGAGCGCAACAATCTGCAGGAGATGAGGGTGAGTCAAGTCAAGATTAGCAAGTTGGCGAAATTGCTCAATCGTATTCTCCTACTTGAGGGCCTTGAGCAGGTGGCCGGAATGAGGGATGAGAACATGGAGATCGAGCCCACAAGGAACTACGAATGGTGGTGGTGGTTCTTCATCATTGTGATTGTGGCGGTGATGGTCATTGGTGTGGTGGTCACAGTGGCTATGATGTGGAAGCGCATCAGGATGCTAGAGAGTGTGATCCAACAGATGAAGGATGACAGCCATGTGGACGTCATGACTCAGGGAGCAATGACGTATGAAGTTGAAGAGAAAGTGAAAGTGGTTAGCAAGGAAGTGAAGGAGTTGAAGGTCTATGCACAGCAAATCCGCAGGGGCTTGGTAAAGGCTTCAGGATATGTTGATGCAACAGAGTTCCACGAAATGATTGGAGACAGTGGAACTACCTACAACACAGCAACCGAGAATTTGATCTTCGCAGGATGGATGCCCAAGTCAAGGAGTACCTGAAGGCAAAGCAGGAACGAGATGAAGAGTTGGATGAACAGCAGATCCCGTTGGGCAGCCCCAGTCCACAACGGGAAGAGACAGAGAATGATGATGACGACATCATTGAAGGCGAGGAGACAGTCCAGGTACGACTGGATTCAGGAGAAGTGGTTGAGATACCACTGAGGTTCGTTGAGCCTCGTGAACCAGAGAGCGAAGGGGATGTGGAGATGAGAGATGCACCAGAAACACCACAAGAGACAGCGCCCGAAGCAGTACTGAGCGAAACCGCACAGATGCCTGATAGTCGTGAGGACCCAACCATTAGCCAAGCTACAAAAGGTTGGATTTCAGGCTTAGAGCTTCGTAGGTTGGCAGTTTTCGATAAGCCGGCATCACGTTCATGCCTCAGAGCCAAACAGCATCTGATGAGATGCGAACAGGAGTGGTGGCGCGCAAACCAAGACAACGATCATGAAGGAAAGTATGAAGTCTATAGTGAGATGGACAAGCATTATGAATTCTTGGACTGCGACAGCCTACCCTTCTAGAAATGTTGTCTCATGAGCACGAAGACCTAAGCTCAAGAGACAAAGGAGGAGTGCGAAAACTACATACCGACTGCAGGCCCTTTACAGCACAAAAGTCCGCACTATCCGCAATCATTCGTTGTTTTCCTGCCTTGTTCATCCTCTATCCTCACTTTTGTTTGTTGATTCATTCTACAATAGCGTCATAATTCATGATGTGCTCCTACTTCTTTGTTCAAAAGAATCCTCAGGGATTTTCATTGTGTTCGTTGTGAGAGTCTTGATTTATTTTCTGATGAATATGGAGAAATTATAGGAGAAATTGTTATTGAACTTGTTGCAAAGCAAGTTGAAAGTTCAGAATGATGCGTTGAAACATACAAAGTACTGTAGATCTCAAGACATAGAAAACCGTTGCCGCACTTAGGCAATTGCATTATCTTGTAGGCCGCGCTTTTCATCGAAACGTAATACTCCTTATGTTTCTTTCGCTTGCTACAGCTTGGCCGTGTCGCATCCAAGAACGTCTATCTTCAGATAGTGGAGATGAAACGGTAACAAAGATATGTCTTGAGTGTCTTGTTTATATACACCTTTCATACAATGGCCACGTTCTCGTCTGACAAGTGCTTCAAACGCAGGCCCTGAGATGAAATCAATCAAGGCTTCTCCTCAAGAGTACGATGAGCTTGGCTTCAATCCAAAGGATGCCCAGCCAACAACTGTCTTCACTCCTTGCTTGTGCAGTCTGCTTTTGCTGTTTTGCACCGCTTGACTTCTGCTTGCAGCAGGAGCTTATCAAGCAGATAGTTGAGAGCTACCTTTTCCTTGCAAAAGCCAACAAAGCAGAGGCCGTTGTCCTTTTGTGCCCTTTCGACATCAACCCTGGGTGCTTTGCCAGTGCCTGTTTGAGGTCGTTCGAGTGGTTGGGAAGGATGAGAGATACTACAGCTGCTTGTCTGACTTGGCTGATGCCACTTGTACTTCTGTGCTTGCGTCCAATGTAAGCCACTAGATTCTTCTCGAGGTAGCAAGACGTTCAGCAAAGCTTGCAGCTTTGTCAGGACTTGCAGCTTTTGCAGCTTCGACAGTGTGACAAAACCCATAAACCCTATTCTATTCGTTGCAGGAAGTATGGTCTTCTACAAGGTAGTGATCTTGAGGATTTCGAGTCATTCTGCAAGGACCGAACAAACAAGTTGCGTGCGACAGGCAGTTGCAAATCATTACTGTAGGCCACTCACAATCTGGGAATCGTTTCGTCATTGAGGGGTCTTCTGAGTCCAGCTACTGGTAGCTTCTTGTTTTGCTCAACTGATAGGAGCTTGCTGACACAGTTTCCGCGCACCGGGCAGCATTTGACGAGGCTTCTTCCGCACTGAAAACCCGCATTTGCCATCCCGCATGTGCTTTGGTGGATCCATATCCTTGAGCTCTAGTCTTTGATCTAGTTGCTCTAGCGGTTGTTAGACCATGTCTTCTTGAGTTCAGTGTTGAAGAACGCAAGGAAGAGCAAGGCACATTTTCGGGAAGACGAGAAGAGTTGAAGGCAACACCATCCAAGCAACAGGAAGAAAGTGCAATGTCCACGTTTGAGGTCGCACAAATGCCTGAAACCTTTCTCAACTACAGATATACGGTGGAGTCTGTAACCAACTTCTCCTCTAGCCCGGAGCAATGAAGTCAAGCTTAGATGTATGGATTGATTGACGACCTGTGTCCTGTGCCATCTGGATTTGCGGTGACTCATGCGTGCCGCAAAAACAAGACTACATGTTGTTCATAGTTAGGTATTTTGGATGTCGCCTACTCATTGTGCTTGCTTTGGAACACACGTCCACTGAAGGATTTGCATCACCTGCACGCCATGAAACAAGTGTCTACATCGAATTGAGACGTTGATCCCGAAAAGCCTTTGACAGGCTGATATTCCTACAAATTATTTGTGCGAGCTGATGGCGGACATCATGAGTGATCCAGTGATGTTTCCGCAGAGCCGCAAGGCAACTGGGAATTGCAGCATTTCAAAGGGCAAAGCACTAGGTTGGAGGCCATCACTATGCAATTGCTATTAGGTTCCTTTTGCTAGCAAACGCATGTCCACTTCACGCATGTTGGCTCAAACAGACAGGTTGCAGATCGTACCATTGCTCTTCGAGTCATCATGAGCCGGTTTCTCGGAAAACGTGGGATGCACGACATGTGGTGATAATTACTAGGGGATGCGCTGCAAGGCAGCGATAGAGATCCTTTCGCCAACACGCCAGTCAAGGTGGAGGCCTTTCTGATTGTTTCTAGAGTGTATGTTGAACATGGTGGTGAATATTGGCTGTCCAGGAGTTGATACCGATGACAGAACTCAAGGAAGAGATACACAGATTTGCAAAGGAGAAGGCGAGGTTGTGGTCACGGCACTTTTAAGACACTGCGCAAGGCTTTGCGTGCTTTTGTTTTAACGAGCAGGAGGGTTAGAAGAGAAGGCACTCTTCAACTTGCGGTATGTGCTCAGGGCATTGCCTTGGAGGGCGGCAACATGTTCGACTGACGAAGATGCACGGTCCCAATGGGTCAAAGTGATGACCAATGGCTTCAAGGTTGCCAAGCTCGTGAGAAGGACCCCAAAAGCAGCCTTCAAGAACAGTGTCCCCAGTCCGTTTGCAGATGAACAGAGCAAACGAGCAGGCAGACTTTCCAAAGATGCAGACGAGTTAGTCTGCACTGCTTGCTGTGAAGACCTGCAAAGTTCTGCTAGTGCAAAAGGTGCACCAGGCCTTGGCAAGAGCTTGAACAGGTAGAGGTGACTGAGCCACTCCAGACCTTCCATGGGAATGTAAACGAGGGTTCTTCAAAAAAGTTTCATTCCGTAAATCTGCTCACAATGGATTCCACCATTTCCATTTCTGTGCAGGGGTATTACGGTTGTCCCACTGGATGAGAGAATGGCGATCAAGGCCCAGTGGTGACTTGCCACTTGTAAAGCTATTTTAAATAAGTTGCCTACAGTTCAAGGTTGGACCTTTGAATGAGAGCCGCTTGACGGCTGTCAAGAACTCAGCTGAACCGTTTGAGCATTTGCACAAACGACTTATGCTTGAGGCAGTCGAGATGTCACTGGGTCGAGATCGAGGCGCAAGACATTGAGTGCGCTAGACGACTTCTGTTCGGTAGTAGTTGAACAGTTGAATCTAGCCAAGGGGGCTGAATGTTTGCAATGGCCAGAGGGGCCAAAGAACTCTTTGTGCCTCGTTGACGGTAAGATTGTGAGGAGTTGGAAATGCCTCTGGTGCTCCGTGGAGATCTCAACCGATGAAAGACTTGCGCCGTTTTCAACGATGCAAAGTCATCATTTCTAAGGTCGCAAAAAGCGACAAGCTCAACCGTGGAGGCATGCAATTGTTTTTATATAGGTATATCATTTCAGTGAATCCAGCGAATCTTTTTTTTCAGGTTGGTCAGGTAGATGTCAGGCACTCGGCTTTTGGTCTAACAACTCCAGCATGTGAGGCGAATAGGGTTTCTTACCTAGGCTGTGGCAAAGTCTGCAGACATTGAGACCCAGGCGATTGATCTGTGTTTGAACCGTTTTTGAACTTGGAAGCTCTATTGAATGGAGGGCAGTACACCTTTCGAGGGTGGGTTTGGGGAATGGAGCAAAACCATGCAAAGCCACACCAAGACACCTCATCGGACCTGATCACCTTTTAGTGAGACAGACTGATGAATTCGATTGTTTGTCCGCAGGCTGGAAGTGAAAGATTTGCTGAAGGTGCAAAGATGGGAGAACTCGCCTGTCGCTCCGTGTTTGACAATTCACAACCTTGTTCAGACTGCTTCAGTTCTAATTCAATTCTAATTAAACTGAATTCTAATTCTAATTCTTGTTTGAATTGCTTCTTGTTCCTAGTAGTAAGGCCAGGAGCCCCTAGTGGCGTCCTTGCTCCTAGTAGCGATGCCAGGAGCCCCTAGTAGCGTCCTCTACCGGTTTGCCTAAAGAACTTTGATCTCAGTCGTTCAGCACACGAAGTCCGACGACTTATCCCAAGTCAGGCGCAACGAAACGCCGGGCCACACTCACACATAATACTGTAGGGACTCGCATGTCCCCATGCTCCATGAAAGGCAGTCTGTTTCACTTTCTCAGACAATCGACTTGTTAAGGGCACCTGGGTGACTTTGTCTCGTGGCTCACCTTTTTTGAGCTTCTCGCGGTGACAGTCCTCACCTTGAAGGTCTTTGATCTTGCAATGCACATCGTCCAGAAAGCACAGACTGTCGTTCCAAAGACGATGCCGTTGCATGACTTCCTCGTCTGAAAAAACATGAGTTCTCTCAGCCTTGATGCTTGCTGCACTTTCTCCAGCAGGAGGTCGTGAAGCCTCTAGCCTCCATGATCCTTTGTGCTTGTCATTGTACGGTTGTTTAACATTTACTTTTATTTTTTTACAAGCTTGTTTTTTAGTATCGAACTGATTCCCACAGTGAGAAAAGAACGCGGACCTTTTTGACGTGGATAAAGTCGAGTTCCGCAACTGCGCAGGATTCCACAACTAGGATTCCGCAACTATTTTGTCGGATTCCGCAACTGGGATTCCGCAACTAGGATTCCGAAACTAGGATTCCGCAACTGGGATTCCGCAACTAGGGTTCCGCAACTAGAATTCCCAACTAGAATTCCGAAACTAGGATTCCGCAACTGTCAGGATTCCACAACTAGGATTCCGCAACTGTCAGGATTCCACAACAAGGATTCCGCAACTAAGATTCTGCAACTGGGATTCCGCAACTGGCGTTCCGCAACCCCGCAAAATTGTGGATTCCCTCACTAGGACTCCGCAACTTTTGTGAATGATGAGGGGGTTGGCGTGATGTCGAGATCACACGATGGGGACAAGGGGGTTGGGGGGTTGGCGGGGTTGAGTGGGGGGCTAATGACGTTGGTTTGGATGTGCTTCGAAGATGAAGTCACAGGCACACGCTATCGCATGATGTGGAGATCACCAGTTGCAGAATACCAGTTTCAGAATGCCAACTGCAGAATTTGACTTTCCAGTGTCAGAATCCCAGTTTCAGAATACCAGTTGCAGAATCTGACTTTCCAGTCTCAGAATACAAGGTTCAGAATCCCAGTTTCAGAATCCCAGTTTCAGAACCCCAGTTCCAGAATCCTAGTTTCAGAACCCCAGTTTCAGAATACCAGTTTCAGAATCCAAGCGTCAGAACCTTACTTTCAAAGCCCCAGTTAGTTTCAGAATCCGACCGATTAGTTTCCGAATCCGGCTGATGCATTTACTTATATATCCGATTTTTTTCGCGTCTGTCTCCTTTGTTTACGATTCGCTTATTCCACGCTTTTGTTGTACTTTGTTTTGAATACACGTTGTTAACGATTTTCTTTTATGTTTCCTTTGCTGGCTTCTCGGTTTTATGCACATGTTGGTAGGACCTTAGTTCAGGAGATCGGTAAGAGGCAGAAGAAAGCGAACGCAGAAGCGGGTCACAGTGTCCAGGAGATTGCCCTGTGCTCCCTTTTGATGGGTCGACAAGGATGTGGACACATTTCCCGCAGATAACAGTCTTTGCCCGTCGTGCATCACAGACGTAAATTTATCGATATATGCAGAAAGGTGTGATTGAACAGTGTTGTGCACGCAGAAGCTCCTTTGAAATCTGTAGCCCGGATGTTGCTCGAAGCAGTGAACCCTTCAGGTTCGTGCAACTGACAAGAACCCTCATAACCGGAGCAATCTTGCTGGCGGACAATTTTCGCACCTTCGATCAGTGTGGCTGTTCTGAAAAGATGCGCGCGTTGACAATCCGCTTTAGTTTGTAGTCGGGATTGTGCATGTGGTTTTGGTCGAGACACAGCATTCTTTCTTTTGCCGAACCTGATGTTTTTCTTGTCAGTTTCTGTTTTGGCCGACCTGGTTGAGTATACAACACGACCTCCCCTCTTCATATCTTTGCGACACCTTAATACCTACAATAATAGACTTTGCACATTTACATTTGAGATATATACAGAATGAACAGTGCACCTGAGCCAGGTGGCTCGGGTCTAAATCGAGAACGTGGTGGACACATGGCTTCCAATGGGCTAAATGGTGGCCAGCCAAAAACGGAAAAATCATACCAGACACCCTTCACGGTCGTGACAAACAGATTTCATTCGAGGCAATGCGCAGATGGTTCGACTCTGCGCCCAATGCTGCACTTTCTTTGAGGTGCGCTGGTGACAGTGTCAGTTTCTTTGGCTGTATGCCCAAAGACTCGAGTGGAGTTTCGAGAAATAGAATCAAACCTGGAGAATCTGCAAATGCAGTTCGAACATTTTGTAGTATTTAATGTAGTCACTGACAACATCAGGCAGGAGTTGGGGAAACGTATTCCATGCAGAGGAAATCAAGTGGCGATGCTGGCCTGTTTCAGATCTGGATTTTGCAGCTTCATGCCAGGAGCCCGTAGTAGCGTTCTTGCTCCTAGTAGCGATGCCAGGAGCCCCTAGTAGCGTTCTTGCTCCTAGTAAAGGCAGTTTTTACTTTTCTGTAAACTTGAGCTGCAGCTCTCTCTCTTGCCAGTTTCGACGATGCTTTAGTAGCCTCTCCTGGATGCACGCAGAGCCTTGTCAGCAAGTTGGCTGTCGATGTAATGCTGTTGGCCTTTTGGCTTTCAACCGTGACTGTAAGCTGTTCAACTGTGAGCCATAAGGCAATTTCCTGGGCCTCGCCTTGTGTCACTTGAGACGTGAAAGCTGTACATAGCATGTGATGGCTTGTAGCATGTTCAGTGCTGATGCGTTGCTCTGCTTTGTTTGACTCTTGAACGCATCAGTCTTCACGTGATCACTAAAACTCATTACGCTCGCATCAGCGCCATGCAAGACATGAATGATTGATCGTTGAGGTCACCAAATCACAGCACGTCGCTCGGTTATGCTTGGTTCATGGCCGCGAAGAAAGAACATTTTGCGGTGCATGAGCAGAGACAGACGTCCCCGCATTTTTTTTTTTTCTCTCTCTCTCTCTCTCGCGTTACTTCTGTTTGGGTTTGGAAACTTTTCATATACACATCAACTCTTTTGGCAAAGTTTGGTAGGGTTTGGTGTACAGTACTGATTCTCCCATTTGGATCAAGCTGTACAAGCTGTGGATTGGTCAGCTTGGAGTCAACTTATCAGCCGCGATCTTGGAGATACCATGCACACCAGAAGGTATCCCAACATATCTCAACAATCCAATCACTTTCAATCCACCTCCATCTATTATCTCCAAGGCTGAGATGGCTGAAACAGAGGAGGCCCCACCAGTCATCAGCTCAGCTTGGGCCAACTTTGGCGAGACTTGTCAGGAGTCAAGAAAAGCTGAAGTCTTTTCCACTTGCAGGTCGAGGAAACTCCACAGGAGTCTCCACCACAGGAGTCTCCACCGCCTGTCAATGGCACAGCTGCACCGGAGGACCTGTCAAACATCACTAGTTTTTTCTTTTTTTTTCTTTCCGATGAAAGCCGGTCATTCCGGCACTGGCGTGAACCAGTCAATTGAATGATGTCAATATATTCTCACCGGCAGAGACTTTCTTCTTTTCCTAAGAGGAGGCTGAAAAGAAGAAAAAGAAGAAGAAGAAGGAGGGCCTCGAAGACTTTGCACATGTGGTTCCAACACGCGATTTCATGCTCCCTCAAGAACCGGCTTTGCCACTTTGCCCTCAGGTCAAAGAAGTGAAGAGCGTTTTCGAAAGCGTACCTGCAGCTTCATCAGCAGAATTCTCTGCAACCAAAGCGGTCAGCCCCCCCCTGCACTCTGGAGAGCTTTGCTTTCTTGGCGTAGGGGAGTGGGGTTGGAAGTGAACAGAAGCGATTGCTTTTTCAATGAAAGGCCTTTGCTCAAAAAGATGGTAGCCAGATGTGAGGTCAAAGCAAACAATGAAGGCTTTTTAAGTATTGTTAAAGCATTATCCCGGTACATCCAGCTAAGAGAGTGTTAAGAAACGTGGGTGGCCGAAGTGTTTGAGTGAAGCTGGATTCTTACGCGCCATGGATTCGGACTCTGATGACGAGTATTGGGGGACATACCAGCGCTTGCCACAGGAAGTTTCGTTTTCTCGTTTCACTGCAGATATGTTTTCAGAGTACAAATGTGTTGAAGTGGTGCCTTGGAAGGAGACAACGCGCCTCCCTTTCTCATCGTTTAGCAGTCAAGGTGTGAGTCAGAGTCCGCGTCTCAAGTCTTGCTATACTAGCACAACAGCCCACGGGAGCAAACTTTCTTCAGCCCTGAGCCAGGTCTTGATTTTTCATGGAATGATCCATGCGGGTCAGCGAAGCTCAGTGCTGGAAGCATTGGCAGCACTCCATCGATCTTCTCGCAGGCTAGGGCCACGGTCAAAGATGTCGTTTGCTCGTGTGGGAGGGTATTCTTATATTCAGTATTCAAGAAATTCTGTCCCTCCAGGAGACAGTTGAATTGGAGCCTGGTGCCTTGATTTCGGCCTGGCTCTCAGCTACGTTATGGGCATTGCATGGACTAGATGTCTTTCTACTGAAGGTAGGCAGCCGCTGTTTTGAGCTTCATGACCTGCTTGGAGTGGGAAGCTTTGGATCAGCTAGTCTGACATGTTTTAAAAGAACCTGAACGGTGCATGCGCAAGTTCTGTAGTGCGTCTTGATTCGAGTTTTGATACTTGCAGACATTGAAAAAGGTTTATATGTGCAAGGGCCAAAACATGCAATGAAGAGTTCTTTACATAAGTCGCCGTGGAATGTCTAAGAACGTGCTTTTCTTTGTAACACGATGGGAACCCTGAAAAACGATACCAGACAAGTTCATTTGTTGTGGCATGATTGATTTTATTCACAGGTATGTATTGTCCGCTAGCAGGTTCCACATGCAAAAACGCTACCCCAAACGATGCTTTTCGATACCCGAAAGGATACCAGAAATCATCAAATATAGGGAACACCCCATATCCAGGGTCACCTTTTCCCCAGATAGCTGGAGTTATTGGGGTTCTTACTTCAAGTATAGGAAGAGGTGCTTGTGCGCTTTGGAGCCAAAGCGCTGGTGCTGCTGCAGGGTGCTGCTGCCAGATGTGTGGCTATGTGCGCTTTGGAGCTTGGGCGCTGGTGCTGCTGCAAGGTGCCACTGCCAGATGTGTGGCCGTGTGCGCGTTGGAGCTTGGGCGCTGGTGTCGCTGCTCTGGTGCTGCCTACTATGCTGGCGTCATTCCTTAGGCAAAGACAACAGCAAGCTTGCAGCTCTCAGGGGAAGAAGGTCAATAATCCAGGGATCTCCCATACAGAGGACTCGATACATATATCATGAATAAACCAAGACAAGCTTCGCGCTGTGTGAGACGATGGGAATCCTGAAAAACGATACCATGACCTTACCGCACATAGTGAGTTTTGATCGTCGCACATATAGTGGTTTTTCACTTTATTCTTCTCTTGTCAGAAGCACTCATTCTTTGTTTTGCTTGTTGCTTTGTTATTGCTTGTTTTTTGCTTTTGCTTCTCTCCGTGTGTTTTTTGCTTGCTTTGCTGTTCTGCTTTGTTTGCTTGCTGAGCCGCTAAGACCACCGCTCACAAGGAAGGAAGCGAGCAAGCTAGCATCCCAAAACCAAGCATGCACACCAGCAAGAAGGCTCATTGCAACCAAAAAAGCAATCAAAGAAACAAATGAGCGAGGTAGGAAGGAAGAAAACAAGCACCCAAGAAAGAAGCAACCAGGGGCAAGGGCGGTATAGAATTAGCATGCAACCCAAAAGCAAAACACAGAGCAAGGAGCGCTCAAATACCACCGAAACGGCAAGGTTGACAACCCAACGCGCTCTACATGATGCATAACAGCAGAGGGTGTCCAGAGTGCGGTAAATACCGGCAAAAGGTACGCTCTGGACACCGAACATGCTATCAACACCATTGGGAGTAGACGGGTAGGACGTCTAAAGATGCGAACACAGGGAGCCCCAAATGCAGCAAATAGATGCAAATAGCAGTGTTCATGTACCGGTGCATAGGTTGAAGAGGGATATTGGTCTTGGATGTTACTCCCGGGTAAGCAAAACTAAAACAACTACACTGCTCAAGATCGTCTTGCCTTGATCCAGGCAATGTTTCAACCAAGACTTAGGGTAGGTCACGGCCTAAACAAAACCGCGCGGTGTTTTTATTGTTGCCAAATATATGATGTACAAAGAACTTATGGTTTACACCAGCACAGAGTGGACATGGGGCACCCAAATCCAGCAGTGGACGGGGATGATATGATGTCCAAAGTGCCGGTGCCAGTGACAGGTGAACACAGGGTGATGTTGACAATATGAAGTCCACAGTGCTGCCAACCAGCGCAAATATAGCTATGGAACCAGCATCCCGAAGAACCAGAGAAAGAGAAAGACAAATTAGATTCGCCACCATTTTAAAACAAATAGGCATGTAGGCGTACAGGCAAGTAGTGCAATTTTTCGGTATCAACATGTGTCACCGCACGTGCTGGTTTTGTGAGCAAGAAAGAACTGAATATCACGGCAGGTTTGGTGTGCAACTTGCCACACTTCTGGGGCAACAGTGGCCCTGAAGGACAGGCGTCACAACAAGAGAGTCGTTGGCCTCAGCGGCCTTGGTTTTGGTCTACAAGTTTCTCCCAGGAGATTTTGAGTTTAAACAAAGAGTCCATGGAGGCGAGACGCTGCGGGAGGCTCCAAAGGAGTCCAAGAAGTTGGTCGTTGTTTTCTCGAGTGTATTGAAAGTCGAGGCAGCAAAGCTGGAGGCTCAGCGCCTTCATGCTCTTCACGATGTAATTCAGGAGCAGATCTAGATAAGTCACGACGACGTGACTACGCTGCTATGCTGTCATCTGAGCCAACTCCTCTTCATGCCAGGATAGAAGTGGCTGTGCAGCCCTGCCTAACCTCCTAGCCGCACGGAGCTTGAGACTGGCGTTGTTAGTTGTTAGTGAGGGATTCTGAGACTTTAGCAGCAGCAGAGCTTTCCATGACGAGAATTCCGTGCTTGATGAGTGACTACGACACTCGCGGCTGGCTTTATCATTGGACGACTCTTCAGGCTGCTACTGCAACTCACGGCAACGGCTACCGAACTGTTATGGTAATGGAGCAAATCCCAGGAGTCACACATGAAACAGGTTGCACAACTGCTGGGAGCAGATCTTGTGCACAGTCGCTAAGTCTTTTGACTTGAGGAGAGCCCTTGCGGCAGGCACTCGAGGCCAAGCTGTTGGGCGGTGTTGGGAGTGCTCTTCTTTTCATGAACGGAGAGACTATCGCTTTGATGGAAGTTCGATGCAAAGCGCCAAAGCGTATATCTGTATGACTGTATACTGTAATTGTTCACACAATTCATTGCAGGGTGGGCAACTTTTGGTACCCAGGGGCGATCCAATGGCTCAGGCAACTTGTCCTGCAATGCGATCGCACAACTATAGTAATTACTGGAGCAGCTATTTGGGGATGGGTCAAAACCTGGAGCCCTGGCCCTGGTCCACCATGTAGCTTGACCTTCCAGGTAGGTCAACCGATACTGTATTACTTTCACCCAACGATTTGAATTAGAACAAGCGAATTACCGGCACCTTCCCTTCCGCGCTTTCACACTCGATTTGATAGCCAGCATTTAATCCTTTGCCTCGTAGGGTCATATACAGTACCACCTTTTCGTTCATCATGGTCCCACCTGATGCCATCAAATTTAGGTTTATTAATCTCCGATGAATGACTCGTCGACTACACGTCCAGGGTGATGTAGGAAGTCCTATTTACGTGACGACCGGAGTCCCCGAAGGGGATAGCATGTCCGTTTGTGCCATGCTAGTCATTTCGTCCGCCTTCTACTGGTACATCCAGACACCGAGCGTGTTTCCTATGTGGACAATTGGTCCTACCTCACTACCAATCAACAACACAATATCCAGGCATTGTCTCGCGTCCAACATTTTGCATCATTTTGCACACCTTCGAATACAGATAGACTACGCCAAGTCGTGGGCATGGGGATCTACCCAAGATGCTTGAAAAGAGTGGAAAACACTCCTCAATGAGTTGTTCCGGATCATAACCTTGTCCATATCTATAATTCTACCAAAGATTTACAGTAGGCTGCATGTGCCATTATACACGCCAAATTGTGCTAGGATAATCTCAAGGAAAAAATGGCCAGGACAGCTCAGCGATGTCGCCGCCTTCGATATATCAATACAGACATTCACCAAAAAGCAAAATTGTTTCAAACGGCTATTTGGCCATATGATTTTTTCGGGGCCGAAACGCAGGTGATAGGAGAAAGACATTTTCAGCATTTACGCGGCTTCAGTGGGACAGAGTCAAATATCTAGCTGGATTGCATTTCTTGTCTCCTGTGCTCCAGGAGTTGCTTTAACTTTACTTCGTCGAGTGTTTCATAATTTAATACTAGTTACTAATCCATACTAATGCCACTGTGGCTGGCCGCTTTCTATTGGCAGTTATTGATCACCACTATTGAGACACCCGTAGGTCCGGCAGGTGCCTTAGCCAGGTATTTTAACATCCTCGGATGGACCCTTGACAAGGAGGGTGTCTTAAGCCTTGATGCATATCTTCATGTCTCCATTCGCTCAGACTCTATTCAAGCTATTCGAGCTGTGGTCCGTCAGTCGTAGTCTTATGTAGTCCACCGTAATATTTCGCATAGAAAAGGCATCGGCCAATCTCCATTCGACATCAATATTCTTTGCGTCAAGACATTATCAGTCACAGAACTTAAGTGTATTGCACATGATATAACAGGGGGCTATCAAGTTGCTGACGTTAAGGCTAAGTGGTCTAATACAGTGGATGTCACTTATCTCGCAAAATACCCCGATAAACTTTGGTTGCCACTGCCTCCATGTTCCCCGGAAATTGCCACAATTCGCCAGCTTCTCCGTTTCCGAGGAGATGACACTACCCCTTCTCAGATTTGCTTACATCAAGTGTTGTAATGTACTTTTATACTGATGGGTCTGCGGATAGTCCGTTGTCATCAGAAACTCGACGAGCAGCATGGGCTGTGGTGCAACTTTGTGCAGAACAAACCCATATGCTGTACCTTTTTCTACTATTGAAACCCAACGATTTAAAGGCCTCCAAGCAAACCATATCTCGGGCTGAATTAGCTGCAGTCACTTGGATCATTTAGACCGCAGTGCAAGCACAGTGGCCGCATCAGGTAATTTTCACCACTGACTCACACTACGCCATTGACGTTATTCATCAAGAGGTCCAATCATCACAGCCTGTCTCCTTTCACCGCCTAGCACATGCGGACCTTCTTCAAATTAATTTGCAGCATTGGATTCCCAAACAATTCATCAAAAGTAAGGTCAAATCTCATCAGGATGTCACAAAATTGCCACCTGGACCTGCTTTGGACGACGCGCCAGGTAATACATTGGGCAGACGTGGCCATTGATCAATTTCATCAGGCTAAATCTATTTTCCGTTACTTGATTGATTTAAATCTCACCCAAGTTCAACAACGTGACACAACAGCCAAAGCCTCCGCTAATCTCACTCACAAGTCAAGATTGGGGCAAACACTTTGATGACAGACTTTAATGCCATCTACCTGAAAATTTCATCCAATACAGACCAGCCATTCATCCTAACGTCATTGAAGCATGCCTATGGAGAATCAGTATGCTGATCTACTGTAATTCAGCAGTTTTTCGCCTCGCTCAAATGGCCGGACCCACAGGCAACTAATCTTTCTATGACAGCACATGAAGGTATCACCTGGCATGAACTAGCAACAGCTTTCATTGTTAATACTGGCCTTCAGCTACCAACCTAGCTTCATGTCATTGACGGCCAGCGAGCACGACCACATCATTGGCTTGATCCTAAAGTATTGGCTCTCCCTAAGAAGTCCAAATCCCTCCGTGAACAATCCGATGGCTTGCGAATCATAGTCCAATATTTACACGGATTCTCTCATGATAAACTGATCCCGGAGCACAGTCAAAACGGATCCTCAAGTCTAGTGAAAGTGGGTTGGGGTCGCACTTACACGGGCGGTTTTCCTTATCGTCTTGAAGTCCCCAACACTTGGTTGATAAAACTCTTGCAATATACTAAAGACCTGAACTGCAAACCCCCGTACCATCCTGACGGAACCGTCCCTATGGGGCATGCTCAGGCGTCTTTCAAAGCCATTCCCGCAGTCAACTTAACATACTAGCAATGTTTTCTCTATCGTCGAAATGTGTGCAAGGCGTTTCTTAAGAAATAAGACTTGCAGACAGTGGCCATCCCAGAAGTTCGCAATTAGGTCGAAGCCGTGATCTCGTCCACACATGTGCCGCGCGGATATTCGGTTTCACGTGTACAGTTCTTTTCCATTTTTGCGCAGACGATGTTGCTGTGAAGGGCTATGTACTGCATGCCCCCAGAACCAGCTGAGCTGAAGGTCTCAACCGGCAAGGACTCTTCGAATGGCGGAACTAGCGGACGTCCCGAGATCCACCCCGATGACGAAAGACGTCCACATAAGAGGCCACGCGGACACACGCACTACGAGCACCACGGCCCCCAAAGTAGCGAGACCATGGAGGTGCGTAACAGCAGTGGCTCATGCCCGGCCCTCAACGGTTGCTGCCTGGACGAAGTGGGCAAAGTCTACACGGTGGCGGAAGCAACCTGCAAAGGACTGAAGAGCACTTTTGGGCACTTTGTTTCTGGACTTCGCGAATGGATGGGACTTGACTCGCAAAGGCCATTGAGCACAAGCTCGTGCCCTTATGAGAAGAAGAAACCCGCCGTCCCTCCATGCCCAGTGAAGAAGGCCAAGGGCACATGGACTTCGCAGTTTCCTTGGAAGACCAAGTCGACGATGGACATGGCTTCATCCTAGAAGCCTAGAACAGCGACCTCCTAGCGCACACCTCGTGGAGCGACCGCGAGATGCAGATCAAATTCTTTTGTGGGGGTTGTGAGACGTGCTATGGCTATGGAAACATGAGGAGCACTTGAGATTCTGGTTGTTTAACTTGGCATGTGCTCGAGCACTGCTCACTTCAAACTGAAAAAGGTTGCTTCCGTGCGGTGTCGAAACGTGTTTTTTGTTTTTCTTTGCTTTTTTGGCCCTTCCTGAAGTGCGCAAACGCACAAGCCCAGGCCGTCTACTTTGCGAGTGAGATGCAGGGTCTCTCAGTTCGATCAAGGCTGGTCCTGGTGCTTGTTTCCAGCAAACTTTTCAGGCTAAGGCAGCTGGCCATGGTGATGCATCCTTTGAGCAAGCGTTTCTTACACCGCGATGCAAATTCCCAGAACATACTTGTACAGGCAGGGGGTGGCGGTCGTATTGGATGGGAATATCCAAGACGGGAAATGGTGGTATTCCTATTTTTTGAGAGTTAGAGACACGCGTGTTGTCATTTGAGGCATCTTCAGGGCAATACCACTTTGGTTTGATCGACTTTGGCTTGGCGAAGTTCTTAACTTTTCACTTTTCACAGATCCCAGTTCAATCTTCAGTGTGCCTTGTCGGGACATGGCAGCAAGGCAGTCGATGCCATGTCTTGGAGTTGTGGTGGGTGGAGAGGATATGGTGCTTCAGGGGTCTTACTTGCCTGTTTTTGCCAATGTTGTTTGGCAAATTCAAACTGATCACTCACAAATCCAATTTGAATAACTAATCCTTTATTGTACCCGGCAATACAAATTCCAAGTGGATGATCACTTTGGAAAATACATCGCCTTGGTGAGGTCTCTGAACCTTGAAAACTGTAGCAAAAAACGAGCCTGCCAAGTGTGCAGAGCTCCAGATCCACTGTTCAATTTTTGGCTGCCAGGATGGTCGCTTCTGGACAACATCATCTTGGATGTTGTTTACCAGCGGTCCAGAAGCTTTGGACAGTGCCTGTGAGGAAACCATGTCTCTCAGTATATTAGCTCACAAACCCTTACGAACGCCTGTCACAATCATGTTTTTTTGGAGGACTTACAATCCGAGTACACTTTGCGAACGGATCTTCACTCTGTAGGCGACAGCAGAAACTGAGCGGAGAGCTTTGACTGCCTGACCACAGCAGAAACATGTTCAGTTTTCATCGGAGGCCTCAGTGCGCTACAAGCTTTGGTGGTTCTCAGCGAGGCGACAATCTTTGTCAGTTTTGTTTGACCTAGAGGTTGCTTTGTTCACCATAGGACGCTGACTGGCTGAACAACCACGGAGAGGCAGGCCAAATCTGCCAGAAACGGCAAGCTTGGGTGTGTCGATGCACCATGCAGCAAGATACACCGAGAGGTGGCAATGGAATCATTGCGGAACCTTCGTGAAGCTTGGTCAGCTCCCCAAAGGTTCTCATGGTCTGAGAAGCGGGCAAGTGGATGGTCGGACTTGAGGAAGCAATATTGGTGCTATGCATCTTCTTGCTGGGAAAGAGTGTTAGATGCCTTCAATCGGGTGGAAGCCCAAGAAAAATGCAAAATGAATGCAGCAAAGATTGAATAGACTCGACTCAGAATTGCTGATCAGGACGCGCGCGGAGCGATCAAGATGCAGCTTCGACAGGAGTGGTGTGGGTGGTCTGAATTCTACTTCGGTGTCATGGTCATTTCCGCCTGAGAGAGAGAGAGAGAGAAGACTCAAACAGCTGGGCCAGCCTGTGGCCTTATGACTGAACAGGAGCTGGTGCACGAGACCTTTGCAGCCCATTTTACCAAATTGCACGAATGTCTTCTGCAGGCTGGCTGGGATCTTTTTTCAAAACAAACTACCAACGCAGTTTCTTGAATAACGTGAGCAGGTCCGTTCTTCGCTTTATGCGTCAAAGGAATGCAGAGGCCACCGAGATTTCTATCAAGACAGGGGATATGACATGAGTCTGAGTGTCCCTATTTTCAAGTTCAAATTACTTTGTACCACTTGCCAGCCTTGCACCAGGAGGATTGGTTAACAAGTCTGCACGTACCCCTAGTGGAATTGATGCTCATTGTCAGAAGGCAGTTGACTGCCTGCAAAGCAGGTGGAAAGTTGGGAGATCGTTGCTTGGCGCTGCGAGTGGTTGAGGCAAAAGCAGAAGATATTGCTTTCGCGGTGGTTTCCATGTTTGTCCTGTCAGTCTTCCTCTGCAGGCACTATTGCATATGATCAGCACTGGTAGGCCTTCGGCCTTCTGCACTACTGCCAGCATGAACAGCACAATTTCAGACAAGCTCAGACCGTTTACAGAATATACAACATTTGCCCTTCAAATAATTAGGCGGTGGACAGATGGATGCGGTGCTTGGGAACAGGCCCGATGGGTGTGACATGAGTCTTTGTCAGACACAGGACTGCACAGTTGCCGTTAAATGTTCCCCTCATGACAATGGGCAAAGAGCATCGCTACTAGGAGCAAGGCTGCTACTAGGGGCTCCTGGCCTTACTACTAGTAACAAGAAGCTACCAGGAGCAAAGGACGTCGCTGCCAGGAACAGGGACGCTTGTTCCACGGCCAATAATGCCCATAAACCAGAACCATCCTGCACCAGACCTTTCATGCGATCAACGCACTACAGGCCGACTCAGCTGTCAACCACCAAGCCCTTGCGCAAAAGCCTTATGCAAACACAATTGATACATCGAGTTCTCCGCAAGTGGGTTGAAGAAGCACCTAGGAAGCCAGCCCTAGTACTGCCGATAGGACCCAAAGGAATTTGCAAAGATGTGCTTCAGACATACCGGCTGTCTGTGAGCATGGTCCAACTAACTACTTGCGCATCCTTCCCCCCAGCCAGCATTCTCTTATGGCGCAACAATGCGGGAAATTGCTCTGCAGGAGGGTGTGCGAGGGAGCAGCAGCTAGTGTCAAACATTGTGCTAGCTTGGTCTCCAAAGCTGATTCAGGCCAGCCTACACATTTGTCTGCCCCGTTAAAGGGAAGCTCCTTTGTTTAAAGCTGGGTGATGAGGAAACATGATGATGCAAAATGAATAGTGCGAGCGCTTCTTCACAGAAGCTTCCCCGCCCTCAGGCGGGGGGAACTTCCTTGGGAGCTTCCTTTGAAGAAGTGTGAGCTATCCTGCGACCAGTTACTAGTATATTACTAGTAGCATAATCCTTACTTACTAGGTTCAATCCCCTCTTGAGTCAAGCGCCTGAGTTTATGAGCACGCTCGGACAAGCCCCACATCACGTGCACTCAATTCGCGGGCTATTACCTATACATTTTACTTCGAAGGTTGCAGAGTTGTGCTGCAAAGGGAGGAGAGTCTGAATGTGCAAGCCAACTGTGATTAAATGCTATATAATCCTCTTTCAGTTAAGGTCAAGGTGACGGTTGGATGATGGGGTATGATGGTTGATGATGTATACACTCCGGTATAATTTGCATAAAGTACAGTCGTATACATAATCTGAGTCGCAAGGCAGTTGTTTTGTTGTTCCCTCGGAGTGGTGGGTACAACGTCCAGCCTGGGGGGCTTTTAGGACTGCTGCAAAACATGTTGGAAATGACAATCACAGAATGAAGAAGATAAAGTGCTGTTTGCATACCAAAGCAACTAGCAGAAATTGCTCATCAACACATCAGGTTTTGGAGCTCATGTGCGAGACTTCTCAAACGTGGACAGGCCATGTTTTATTTTTTCCCCAAAGTGGGCTTGCTTGTGCTTCATTCATTCTTCTTGCTGAGGTTCGGAGCACAGCCAGAAAGAACGTATGGCTTTTGTGGATGAGGCATCGCGACAAAACCGCCATCAAAAGAATCCCCGTGTGCATTTCCCAAACGAAATTGGGGGGGTTGAGTCCACTAACAAAAAAGAATTGGTAAGAAAACTACCTTTTTGCTAAAAAATTGGGGGGTCATTTAGTAGTACAAAACAAGGTTGTGGAGCTGATAAGACATCAAACCCCTACCATATGGTAAGGAAATTTCATCTGTGCTAAGAATCTATATAAGCTAACCATGAGCGCGTGCATTTAGTAGGGAATATTATGTTTTTAACAATCCAGATCACTGCATTTTGTAGTGAAAATGGACGTTTTCTTGGGAAGTGATTTAGAATAAAGGTCAACATTTGTAGAGAGTTTAGATAGAAAAGGAAGAGGCCTTCATCTGAGGAAACGGGGGTTCCATGTTCAAACCACTATTTTTTTAAGCACAGGCATTTTGTAGACTCTTCTCAACACCCTCTCATTTTGTAAGGTAGAGAGTTTAGATAGAAAAGGAAGAGGCCTTCTCCTTGGCACTTCCTGATCCGCATAGCTTGGCTATGCAGACTGGCCATGCTCCTTCTCAGAGGTGGGTTGCTAGAAGGAAGCATGTGGTGTCCGCAATAGGCAGACCTCCGCGAAATGAGCGGACAACAGTCAGGGCCTTGCATTTCTTGGGGCAGCGAGCAGGATTGAAAGGGGGATCGTGGGATGATCCTTTTTTATACGTTTTTTCAGGATGCAACGGGGGATCCCATTTTGTAGTTGTTTTTATGTCTTTTTTCTTGTCTGGGGATGTGGATGTTGTAAGGGTAATTTTTGGTATGTTTTTTTAATATGTTTTCTTTTCAGGTACGGTCATTCTTTAGCCCCAGGGTTGGGTACAGTCATCATT